CATTTCTATTACAGTCATATTCTTATTATATCTATATATTTATCATATCTATATTTTCATTGTATCTATATTTTTTATTGTATCTATATTTTTATTATATCTATATCTATATCATTCTGTAACCGTTTATACTGGTGTAGTACGGACAATAACAATGGTAGTTGTGCCGATAAACGTTTAGAATTTACCATTATTTGTGGGTTGTTTAGACACTACGTTATCTTGTTCTTTCCTCCTTTTCCTCTTATCTTCGTTGTCATAGCCAGAAGAATCTTCGCAACAGTCACCTGAAGAAAAGGGACAAAATAAGGCTATAATTATGATAATAGTGATGGTGATGAGGGTGATAGAGGGAGTGATAATAATGATAGTAATAATAATGATGGTGGTGATAACAATGAGGATGATAATGAATATAATAAGGAAATGTTGACAATGATAATAATAATAATAATGATGATAATGATGATAATAACAATAATGATAATTATAATAATAATAATAGTAATAATAATAATAATAATGGTAACAATAATAGTTATAATGATAATGATAATATTAGTAATAACGGTTATAGAATGTTAAAATGATATCAATGATAATTATAATAGCAATAATAATGATAATGACCCGTGGCATAAAGGTCCTTTTCTTCCTAGAACCAAACAGAAGTAGAAGAAGAAGAAGAAGAAGAAGAAGAAGAAGATGAAGAAGAAGATGAAGACGAAGACGAAGACGAAGACGAAGACGAAGACGAAGACGAAGACGAAGAAGAAGAAGAAGAAGAAGAAGAGAACACAAACAGCAAGACAACAAGTTTTCAAAGAGACACAACAAAACTTACTTAAGACAATACTTCTAACGAAACTTAAAACGAAACTTATAACAATGCTTACTTACGAAACCCAACGAGTCTAACTTACGACAAAAAAAGAAAAAAAAGAAAAAAAAAATACAACCAAACTTACAATCAAATTTACAACAAAACACAGTAGTTACTCACAGCAATCTCCGCAACACAGTTCAGCCATGAAACTACACAAGCATTCACAAATGTCATCACACATCCTTGTCTATTGTCTGTTGAGGTTCTGTACTGGTTAAAGAGATCTCAGAATTGATACTGGTCTTAATTTGCTGCAGTGGTCTTGTTTTATAGATGGAGATAACGAGGTAAAGGCAAGGAGAGATAAGATTTTTAAATTTTATTATTATTATTATTATTATTATTTTTTTTTTTTGGGGGGGGGGAAGAAATTCTTGAGCGGAAGTACGATTGGGGAAAATTGTACGTGAGACAGAGAGAGAGAGAGAGAGAGAGAGAGAGAGAGAGAGAGAGAGAGAGAGAGAGAGAGAGAGAGAGAGAGAGAGAGAGAGAGAGAGAGAGAGAGAGAGAGAGAGAGAGAGAGAGAGAGAGAGAGAGAGAGATTTATCTGTATTCATTTACGTTTTATCGATTATTTTCCAGTGATTTTGTTATGCCACACACACACACACACACACACACACACACACACACACACACACACACACACACATATACGCGGAAATCGGAAAATCTCTTTCGTGTTGCAATGAGCGGAAATGATAAAGAAGATAAAGGTATTTATATATTATGATATAGCTTCCCTGATGATGTCACACAAGCTATTCCATACCCAAGGATAACGGAATTGTTATAATGCAATATTGCAATTTCCGCTTTATTGTATAATTTTCACTGACTTTATATACTTTTTTCATTCGTTGTATTGCTAATTTCACAGGTATAGGTTATATATATATTTTTTTTTTTAATTTTGTTGCTATCAAAGAAAAACAATTGGGCAGTTCAGGTGTTTTTGTATTGTAGAAGAGTTTATATGTGAACGGTATTGCTGTAGTATATTTCTTATTTCCTATGAAGTCACGCAGCATTTTATCACGTTTATCAGTTTGGTTGTATTTTGTCTTATCATTCCTATACTTGATTTCACAATCTCTCTAACTCATACACATGAGACACACGCACACACGTTCATTTTCTGTACACACATAGTTTTACCTGTCTCTCTCTCTCTCTCTCTCTCTCCCTCTCTCTCTCTCTCTCTCTCTCTCTCTCTCTCTCTCTCTCTTTCTTTCCTTCCATCTTTCGTTATTCCTCCCTTCTCTCTTTTCTTCACTCTATTCTCACTATTTTCCAATATTCATGAAATTGGTCTCTTGTTGGCATAATAGCGGCACCCTCGTCTTGAGTGCTTAAGTTATTCCTTCAATAAACATAATTTGTGATCAATTTTAGCCTTTGATCGTTTCGTATTAATGATAGATTACCCTCCGTGCCAAATAATATCAGCTTATTAATTTGTCTTGCCACTAATCACGTCTAATTCTAAACGAAATAGAGATTATAATGAACGATCTGTACTGAATGGACATACACACTGCTATAACTACAGGATCTGTTATGTTTGAAAATAATTTTATCAGTAATATTTCCCATTTCTCATAGCTATTGTTTTAAATTCTCTAAATATTGTTTTTTCATTCTTTTCAAGTAAAAAAATCATAATAGAATATTGAAAACCGAAGTAACGAACGCTTTGTTATACTGCAATACTGCGAATAATAATCTCTCTCTCTCTCTCTCTCTGTCTATCTGTCTGTCTGTCTGTCTGTCTCTCTCTCTCTGTCTCTCTCTCTCTCTCTCTCTCTCTCTCTCTCTCTCTCTCTCTCCTCTCCTCTATTTCTCTCAATGTTTATCTGTCCGTCTTTCTTTCTCTCCCTGCCCCCCCCCCTATCTCTACCTATCACCCTTACCCACCTCTCTCTCTCTCTCTCTCTCTCTCTGTGGTTTTCGGAATTTTCAATAACAAAAAGCTCTCCTGTAGTTATCCGCAACAGCTAAAGTTTCCATGAGCGGGACTGTAAACACACACACACACACACACACACACACACACACACACACACATAGACACTACTCCGCCACAGCTCTCACTTTTAATATCCTCGCAAGTGATTCATAATCCGTATGAACTACGAACTATAACGTTCACCATGACATAGTGCAGCAGCAACCTGGTCTCCTGCAACCCACGCTACACTGCAGCCCCTCTGTTGCACATACGTTGCCGTCATGTCAATAGGCGGGAGGAATTTAAAGACGTTTGATGTTCACTCCTCGTAATTAATGTAAAGCAGAGGAGTGCTATGGTGTATACGTGTATATAATGTACATAGATAGATGTTATTTTTGTATATGTTATTGTACACACGTACACCCACACAGCAAATTATCCAACGCACCCTGGATAAATAGTAAACCATTACCTTCTAGGTCTTCTTCCCATCCCTCCCTTTGTGTTATTAAAATGAACCACTTGATGATGACTTCATTAAAAGGATGGCCAGCATGGATGAACACAACTCCTTAAGAAAATGAAACCATCCCATATATCCCATTGTTAACATTATGTCCTCAGTCTTAAAAACATAAACATACTGCCCTTGGTGCCTGCAAATCATTTTTTTTACATTTGTCCAAAGTTCTCGTTAACAAATAAAAATAATTCTCAATACTATTGTACAAGGTAAAGGATAATTACAATCAGTGACTAATTGAGAGGTTTGCAAGGAACTTTTGCTGACCCAATTTCTCGATGACTATCAAATGGAAAGAAATAAGAATAAATGAGTAACATTTTCTAGATAGACAGAATTTTAGTCCTTACTAACTCTCTAACTTCATTGTACTCACATACATACATGCATGCCTAAACACACACACACACACATTCTCTCTCTCTCTCTCTTTCTCAATAAACACACAATACATCTGTATAAAGAAAAGACTTTAATTATACACACAGCATTAATCCCACTATTAAAGTGAAAGAGCGACATCAAGATACAAAACAAAATACGATGCACTGTAACAATGGCCGAAATCTCCATTTGGGTGGACGAAAATTTCCTTAACTATCGTTATACGAAGAGGAACAATGAAAGCACAGCTAATTTGGAAGTGAACAGACTCACTATACCAGACCATGTTGTGTGTTACGGTGTCTCGATGGAGATTTTTTGTCTACTGAGCCTTTTCTTTTGTCTATGAATCGCAAATGGGCGGTATTGAGTACACGACTGAGTTACTTTCGGAATCATTAGTGAATTAATCACTGTTATTTTCACTTTTGGTTTGTTGTTGTTTTTTTCCCAACAGTTTGATTGTGAATTTCCTCTCCCTCCCTCCTCCTCCTCCTCCTCCTCCTCTCTCTCTCTCTCTCTCTCTCTCTCTCTCTCCCTCTCTCCCGTCTCTCTTTGCTACAACGTGACAGGTCATACAAGGAAAGAAGAAGAAAAAAAGAAATATATACATACATACGAACACACCACAATGATGAAAACGCTTCCAGATTTTGGTTGCACTGGGAAACGCACATTCATGCACCTCTGATTTCCTGCGGATGTCTTCCCTCCTTTTAACTTTTCCTCGTCTTTGAAAGTCTGACAAGAGCCATATATTGAGGGAGGTTTCCAAAGTTTCCACGTCGCTATATTTTTGTGATTGTGTAAATTGACAAAGGATGGGGAAACTTTTTTTTCGGTTTATGCAATATAGTCTTAACGTTTCATATATTTTCCTGCTTATTATACAGTATGTTTATTTCATAATATGTACAAACACGTTTCACAAACACAAGTATGAATGTCCCGTCACTTGTACCCCATACCATATACCATGACATTAATATTCTAAATGCCATAATACTTATATCATAAATCTTTCAGACAATATATCTCGACTTTGTACCTCCCGGTTGGGAAAGGTAAAGTGGCGAATTTTGGATTTATTTCCGATAATTATAACAATAGCGAGTCAATCATACAATTATGTATTTAGCTATATCATATATCTCACAGCGCGCTCTCATTGGCTAAACATGGTGACGTCATTAGCTCGACGCTCTTTCCTGACCCTACCAATTTGTGATATTTTATGGTAAGTGTATTTTCAGTATATTTTCTTTGGAAATTATTCAGTAATAACAATGGCTAAAAGAAAAAAAAGAAAAGAAAAGAAAAGAAAAGAAAAGAAAAAAAAAAAATGTGTGTGTGTGTGTGTGTGTGTGTGTGTGTGTGTGTGTGTGTGTGTGTGTGTGTGTGTGTGTGTGTGTACATAAGAAACCAAGAAAAAAAAATCATTTACAGTGAATAAAGGTGATAAGGTGGAGCTTAGCTCAGAAGTTGCCAACTAGGATTTTCATAATACGCACATTCCGAGGCCGGGGTAACCAGGAACTTTTGGTATTAGTGTAAGTACATCACAGGTGACATAATTATCTTTACCTGGAACTTTTTTTCTTTCTCTTTTCTCTTTCTTTTTTGTGTAACATTATCAAGTCATTTCGATGTATATCGTTCGCTTTGTCATTAAAACGACGTACTAAAGAGGATTTTCCAGTCCATCAATATAAAATGAGATTAATCGAAGAAAAAGGAGAAATAAAAAAAAACAATTTGAAAGGAAAAAAAGGAAATAAAGATAAATATATTAAAAATGGTAAAGGAGAGAAACTGAAGGAAGATGAGAAATCATAAAAATCGAAGGGAAATGAGAAATGAAGGAAATTGATGAAAAAAAGAGGAATGAGAAAAACTGTGAAGGTAAATGAAAAGTGCGAAAACTCGGAGAAAAAAAATAAAAGAATAGGAAAATAATGGATAAAATCCCAGAAATCAGGAATCAGAAAACGAGCATTCATAGAAATCATATTTTTTGTTTTGTTCCATTTTCCTTCTCTTTTCTTTTTTTTTTGTGAGTGCCTATGTTTCCATCCATTGGGAAATTTGACCTAACTTTTTAAAAAGTAAAAGTGGCTTCAAATTGCCGTAATAGGTTTCTCGGCACAAGTTCATCCAAATTTGCAATTTTGCTTTGCGAACATTTGGTAAAATTCGGGAGAGAAGACGTGTGGAGAGAGAGAGAGAGAGAGAGAGAGAGAGAGAGAGAGAGAGAGAGAGAGAGAGAGAGAGAGAGAGAGAGAGAGCGAGAGAGAGAGAGAGCGAGAGAGAGAGAGAGAGAGAGAGAGAGCGAGAGAGAGAGAGAGAGGAAAGAGAGAGAGAGAGCGAGAGAGAGAGAGAGAGGAAAGAGAGAGAGAGAGA